TCATTACCGCCCGAAGGTCAATCAAACTTTCCATGTGACAGCTCCTATCGAACTTCCCACTCTTACCCAGCCTTCCACATTGGGGACCTCTGCAGCGAGCACTCACCGTTGGATGTCCGTAAGACCCTCAAAGTCTATATCAAGCGAGCGCGGGGGAATCCGTGCGGGTACCCAGCTGTTCTGTTGTTGAGTGGCGGGAAGGCTGGTGTGCGGCGAGCAAGCAGACTTTGTCTCACTGGCTAGTTTCGTGTATTTGTGCCGCTTATCAGGCTAAGGGCAAGCCTCCCCCTGAGGGGTTGAAGGCTCACTCGGTCAGGGCAGTAGCCGCATCAAAAGCTTTTGCATCGGCACTCCCCATTGAAGAGATCTGCTCTGCCGCTATTTGGAGCCGGCCTAGCACGTTTATTCGGCATTATCAGCTCGATACGCATTCGCGTGATCGTGCGAGCTTTTAGCCGTTCTGTTCTCTCCAGTGGACAGTGTCCTGCCACCCTGACCGAGTGAGTCTTGGTTCATTGGTTTTGTTTGACGCTACTGTGCAATACTGTGTGTTATTGACATATCCGCTACTGGGAGCTAACTACCCACATTTCGATTCTCTACGGAGTATTAAAGTCGATTGTGAGTGTTTGACATTCCCCCCTACGGTGCTCACTAATCGACACGTGGTGGGTGGGGATTTGTTTACATTTCGCACCATGTGCGATTTACTATGCTAACATTTGGAGGTCGTCTTTGAGCACAAATCCTCACTGTCGGTTCCCCTCCCATAATGCCTCTCGCGAACGCGAAAAGTGGGACATACGACAGGTGAGTGTCATGGCGTCTGTTACATTTTTTTTCCATTAACGATAGCTATTTGTGTGTGCTTGGACAAAATTCCCTCCTCCCTGGCCTCCGGTCTTTGGGAGTCTGTGTTTATGCATAATATGTACCCCAAGGGCGATCTCTATGAAGAAGAATTAACCAAACCTGAAGAGGTTTTAAATTCTTCGAAGAGAGTCGTCCTTGAGGTAAGGCCTCCATACTCCCGCAATTCTGTTCACTGATATATATTCAGCAGAAGGAATGATGATCTGAGGCCTAGGTGCTTACCCAGTTGAGTGGCATGCGCAGCGGGGAGGTAACTCCGTGAGGTGGGGGCCGTATAATAAATAAAAGAGTTTATTTATTGTACAATCTTTTTATTCAAAAACATTGATACAACTGTCACAGGACATTTTCAGCTTGGAAAATGCATAATTTGTACCCCAAGGACGACTCTCTTCGAAGAATTTAAAACCTCTTCAGGTTTGGTTAAATTTCTAGGTATACGATTTCTAACAGCTCAGAATCGTATTGTAGTCCCGGAGGACAGATGGATCAAGATCCAACAACTTTTTCCTCAAGCCCTACTCTCTCCGTTACCACTACGACAGTGGCAGAGCCTATTGGGACTACTCACATCAGCTCAAGACTTGACAGTCAGAGGCAGGCTTCAATTACGTCCGTTACAAGTCCTCATCAATGCTCATCTCGAGGACCCTCTACCATTCAGTCTACCAGATTATGTCAAACCACATCTACTCTGATGGACCAAGAGATTGAATGTTTTGCTCCTTAGTAGAGCCGGAATCGAACACACATCTCTACGTAGACGCGTCACTACAAGGTTGGGGAGCCCACCTTGCCGGCAGGACAGCGTCAGGCCTATGGAGCAATCTAAGAGAGCAAATGTCACATAAATCTGCTAGAGATGCAAGCAGTCATAAACGCCATAAGTCACTAGAGCAACATACTACAGTACGCTCAGTTGATGGTTCACACAGACAATTCAACAGTGGCGTTTTAATCACTGTTCGATTTAATCGACAATCTAAACATACACGTCAGAGCTTGCCACATTCCAGGAGCAAAGAATGTATTAGCAGACGGTCTCTCTCGGCCACACCAACCGTCGCCGACAGAATGGATGCTCCACACAGATATTCAATCAAATAATCATGGAAATAGGATCTCCACTGATAGACCTATTCGCCACTCGATTCAACAAGCAACTGACAACATTCGTGTCGCCAGTGCCAGACCCACTAGCATGGGCAACGGACGCACTAAGCATATCGTGGGAGAGACTCAACGCGTACGCTTTCCCGCCTCCAGCGTTGATCCCACAAGTCTAACAGAAAATCAGTCAAACGCAGAGCCTCCATCTGATTTTGGTCGCGCCCTACTGGCCAGCAAGAACTTGGTTTCCAGATCTCATTCAAGTAATGGGAAAACCAATTCTTCAGCTCCCACAGCAGCCAATCTATTGATACATCCGCACACCAAACAAGTGCACGAAACACCAGAAGCATTCCAACTTCACATATGGATTGTATCAAGGCATGTCTGAATAAGAGAGGTTATTCTGCCAGAGTGGCTAAAGCGGTCACGCTTGCACTACGTAACTCAACTCGTAACTTGTACGATGACAAATAGCACAGTTTTGTCAATTACGCTGCTAAGAAAGGATTTACAGCCAGATATGCTACACATCCTCAAGTGGCAGATTTCTTATGTTATCTCACGGCAAACTAAGAATCTAAAGGCTCAACCTTGTCCACTTATCTTGCAGCTATAAGTTCTGTCATAACTATGCGAACGGGCGTCAAGTTAACAAAAACACCAGAGTTCCGAGCGTTCCGATTGGAGGATCAGAAACGGAAGTTTCACGCTCCAGCCTGGGATCTAAATATAGTGCTCCAACACCTCACTAGTGAGGCTTATGAACCATTGCTATCTACATCGTTTGAATCACTGACCCACAAAACCTTATTCCTGTTAGCACTAGCTCACGGCCGCCAGGATGTCAGAGATTCAATGATTGGATTACTGAGAGAACAGCTTTGATGATATTCATAACATCGGCTCATCTGGGACTTAACTGGGATTTTATAGCGAAAAACCAACTGCCAGGTCAACCAGACAGATTATTCCACGTCCCAGCTCTCTCATCCATGCTTGGACCGCGTGATCACGATGGATCTATCACTATGCCCAGTGAGGGCACTGAAAATATATCTCCAACGATCCAAACAGAGCAGAGGGAAATTCAAGAGATTATTTATCCCTATATCTACAGCTACGCGGACGGAAGTCTCGCATTACTACAATCTCTATCTGGATCAGAACTGTCATACTCGTGCCTACAAGGCTGCAGGACTCGACCCTCCAAGAGCTTCTAATCCTCACGAAATTAGGCTAGCCTCAACTCTCGCTCTACATGGGAATTGCTTTCGTTGAATACCATAATGGAGGAATGTTTCTGGAGATCCGATATGGTGTTTGCCAACCACTATCTGAGAGATATCACCACCGAGGACGTCTCAGGTATCCACCATTTCGGTCCCATGGTCCTCGCTCAACAGTTGACAGTTCCATGGAGAAGATAAGTCAATCTTACAGATTTTATACTTATCTGATAACAGTACTAATAGCTACATGCTATCTATATATTTTGCTTAAGTTTAATTTATTATCTTAAGCTCAGTCCTATGGTTTTTATATCATACTATATATAAGCTTAGAACTCCTAGGAGTTTTGCTACTATATATATGTTCAGCTTAAGTTTCATGAATCCTTAAACGCAGTCATATGGTCATATGCATAAATGTATTAGCTAACAAACTCTAAAGAGTTGGTTACTATTATACAGCTTAAGTTATAATTATATCTTCAGCACAGTACTATACTATTATAGCTTAAATATATGCATATCTTAAGCTTAATACTTTGGTTAATTTATAAAAGTATCCACTATAAACTCACAGAAGTTTATACTATCACATTAATAGCTTCAGCTTACATTAATGTTGTATATACTTTTATCATATTCAATAAATTGTAATAACCTTTATATGGCAGCTTATAAGTTAAACAGCAGGAATTCATCAGTTCAGTGCCTTTATGAAGTTCCCATAGGGTTATTACAATCATCACAGTTTAAATCACTAATTATTAAAATCCAAAGTATATATATTCCCACCTCCTGTTCCATTGGATTCTACAAGCAATAAGCATGAGTCAGGATAAGGAAAAATATGAAATTTTTAGAGTAAAATTAATATTTTTTACTTATCCTGACTCATGAAGTAAGCCCTCCCGTCCTCCCCACTTAACACTTTGGATTTCTTCGGAAAAATAAAGTGTCGGGCTCGAAACATAAGGAGGGAGTGAGGCACGTGGGTGGAGGTGGCGCCCTCGTTCACGCGCTTGTGGAAGGGAGGTAACTCGTGGTGAGTACTAATTAGTGATTTTTTAATTGAAGGGAACTTCAATTGGGAGATACACGTGTTCCACTATGTTCGCAAGAAGAAGAAGACAAGCAATAAGCATGAGTCAGGATAAGTATAAAATATTAATTTTACTCTAAAAATTTCATTTTTTTCAGATGGTAAGAAAATGACATTGCCTCGCATGAGCGAATAAGAGAAGACGTTTTTGTCAGTACAGACGTTAAATTTGCAATTAAACGTCACTAGACAAGATTATTTACTTTTTCAGTTCTAATTTTTTTTGCTAGGTATTGTCTATTGCTAGGTCAAGTTCGGGGGTCGGCTTATCTACGGTAATATTCGGTAATCCCAAATATAACATATATTACATTTGACAACTTTCTAAATGACATTGTGTTCATTGAATTCGGTAGCCTACGTGTGTCAATACCCTTTTTATTTGAATCCAATAACCTTCATTATGTGAAGTCAATACTATGTGAAGTCTGAACTTGGTTGAATTCATTACCCTACAAAATGTGAAGTCAAAACCTAGTTGAATTCAGTACCCTACATAATGTGAAGTCTAAACCTCACCCATTTCAGTATCCCTTTACAATATAGCAATATCTTGTTGAAACCAGTAACCCAACACAGTGTGAAGTCCCTTATCCCCACACAAGGTATATTTCTGATGATGCTGCTGTATTAACAGCTACCCACTACACACAGTCCCTTGTTCATGTCATTGTTTCTTGTACTAGGAAAGACGAAGAGACGGGGAAGGAGAATGACGGTGATTCCAATGAGTCGGATTCCTTGGAGAAGAACTGTGGAGACTCTGACAAGTCCTCAAGTCCAGAAGTGGCCAAGAAAAGTACACGAAGTTCATCTCAAGATAAGAACTGTGCTGAATCTCAGTCATCGAGTGAACACACGAGCAGGGGAGGTAGGGGTGTAAAAGTTGGGACTAAACAAACAAGACTCGATGACTTTAAAGTGAAACTTTCCCCTACTAAGAGGGGCAAGGATTCTGTGAAAAAGTCTCTTGTGAATGGTACAAATAAAAGGACTGCAAAGGCAGGTGAGGGGGACAGTAGTGAAAGTGCAAAACATTCTCGGAAACGTCACGGGAGTTCAGAAGAGGATGTGCCATCAAAACGAACACGAGGCGCGACCTCAGAGGACGTTGAATCACAGAGAAATACTAGGGCAGCAGATACAAAAAAATCAAAAGGGACAAAAGATAAGAAGTGAGTTAGTTAGATGTGACAAGTATATTACCTGTATTTATCCAAAGTGGCTTATGAATTCATATCATCTCAAATGTGGGTGATTCCAGTGTCAGGTTTGTGATTTATGAGATACCGCAATGCCATTCATCTCAAATGAGTTGCTAGGAACTTGTTTTAAATGGGAATTAAGTTAAGGTTAAATGTATGTTTTGGTTTACCCTTTGACAGAGCTATAAGTTGTAAGGCAACACTAACAATGTAGATGGTTTTCTCAAGTGCCTAATGCCCATGTAACTCCATGTTGAATGCTAAGTGTGTGCTGCTGGTGGGCCTGTATGGAGGGCCAGCTACTGCCTAGTGTTATTCCTACTGGATATGCTCACTCTTCCTCTCCCTCAACTTTGCCAGTGGTGGTGGTGGGAAGAGCTATAACTGTGACATCAGTGAAACTGACAGTGTGTCCCAGGAGGGCTCAGTTTCCACGCCAGGAGGAGCTTCACCACGGAAACGCAAAACCTCGTCCGCATCTCCTCAGCCTTCTGCTCAGGTTAAAAGGTGAGTGTTTTTGTTACCATTGTGCGAGTATATTTAACACGATGATAGATGTGGTCACTCAGCTAACTAACCGTATTCCAGTGGCTGTTTACGATTTGGTAGCATCACTGTGAGTGTTGAGTCACTGTTGAAAACCAAGGTACTGTCTTCCGAAGTAGAGGAGAACATGTTGATGCTGAATAATACTTGTCCTGGTGTGTTTTATGAAACTTCAAGTGTAGTAGAGTGGACCCATGAATTCCATCACTGTGAGTGCGGACAGATTTGGAGAAAAGGATGTAAACCTGACCCAAAGTTTATAGTCAGCCAACTCAGGGAAAGAGTGATTTATCTAACTATTCAATTATTAGTGTTATGATACCTTTTAGTGAAATAGTAGCAAAGTGGTATGAGAATAATTCAAAGACAGCCAGCAAAGCTAAACCACCTGTAGCTTGCAAGCCCAAGAAAGTCTGAAACAATATTTCACATTGTTTCATACACATGTTTCATGGACCTTATGGAGGGAGGTAAAATATGTCTTGCTCTCGTATGTCTCAAGGTATTAGGGAAGTGATGGGCCGTGGCTGCTCTGGTGGTTCACGGGGGGGGCTTTAAAATATACCAGGGTCAGGGGGGCTTCCATAGAATATCCCAGAGTGATGGGGGCTTCTGTACAATTTCCCAGGGTGAGGGGGGGCTTCTGTAGAATATACCAGGGTGAGGGGGCTTCCATAGAATATCCCAGAGTGATGGGGGCTTCTGTACAATTTCCCAGGGTGAGGGGGGGCTCTGTAGAATATACCAGGGTGAGGGGGCTTCTGTAGAGTAGGATCAGAGGGACTCTTTTAGAATATCCCAGTGTCATAGGTCAGGGTCTCAAAGCTTTAATTCAACTTTCAAAGGCACAAGCATGTTTTTTTTTAGATTCTCCGTCTTTAACCAATGTTAAAATTCAAGAAGTGAAACTGTTCCAGTTCAGTCAGGTTTCAGGTGGTATCTAATATTGGTGTTCCTTTCATTCATCCATGTTTGACATTACCCAACTGACTTGACAGAATCAAACAGGCTCACTCCTGCTTCAGAAAATGTCCCCTGTTCTGACTTTTCTTTTTGTTGTGGTGGACAGCTGTAAAGACCCCCACAGGTGTCAATTCTTCTTCAAAGATGTTTGTAATCATGGCACAATGAAAGTACGTTTATGCTGCTAGGCATGTATCCTCGATAATCTTAGGGTATACGTTCCGATACATCTCCACTAGTACACTGGATGCATCTACGGCTCGACCCCATAATTTTATTACCTCCCCTTGCTGGCTTTTTATCTAGTCGCCAATTACCAATCACAAGGTTTCTATCATAACTCACTTTCGCTTCTTTTATCTAACTGATTAAACTTGGCGACTCAATTGTTGCAAAGGTACTCTGAAAGAGGTAGTAGGAGTTCTTGCATATATTTTTTTTGAAGGTTTCAGCCTGTCAATTTGTCTCTTTGATGTTTTCCCTAAATCTGAGTCGCGCAGTGAGCAAACCTTCGCGCCTGCAGCCACTATCTTTGACACTGGCAAGCTCGGTTGTAACAGTTGTTCTTATTGACTACTGTGAGGAGGTGGACCCAGCAAAGGGCGGTAATGCATCCAGGGTACTAGTGGAGATTTATCGGAATGTATACCCTGGAGATTATCGAGGATGCTAAGTATGAGGAGTCGTCATTGTTTGAATTAGGTCAACCAGGCACAATTTAATTCTGTGATGCATGTTATAATCCATGATTGATTAAACCAAGTGGCTAATTTGCATTTAACATGGAACTATGACAATGTTATGATGTACTTGGTTTAAATCGTCTGGGTAGGTATGGGCAAAACCCATTCCAAATTGGCTTATATTTTGAAAGGAGAGGTTACTTTAGATTGTTTTCATAACTTTGCTTTAAGCAAGTGATTATGTGTCTTCTTATTGTGACTGTTTGGTGCATGGGCTACTTGTCAGTGATGTAAATGAAGAAAATGTTCCTGTGTCTTGACAGCAGGTAGCAGTGAATGTTGGAAAGAACTGTCCTCAGCAGAAAGTGGACATAACGTTGATAACATCACAGTTCCAACAGGTTCTATTGTGTATGTCCTTGAATCTCAGATATTGATAGTTTAAGATTGGTACTTGTTTGGGCACAGGTCCCGTCTGACGCGCAGCAACTTAAAGACCCCTGACAGTGACCAGGAGATAGTTCCCTCTCCCACACCCAGTGCAGAACCACAGAAGACCTTGCAGACCAAAAAGCAAGAAACTGTGGCAAAGAAGACCAATGTTAGGAATGTGTGAGTAGTATCTTGCAGCAGAAACTTCCATGTAGAAAATGTTCTTGAAATGTGATTTGTGTACTGAGAATCCAGCTGCTTAAGAAGATTCTCCTATGATGCTACTTGTTTTGTGTGGTCAGTTGGCCACCTCTTCCCCTAAGATGCTACTTGCCTTGTGTTGTCAGTGGGCCAGCTCTTCCCCTAAGATGCTACTTGTCTTGTGTGGTCAGTTGGCCACCTCTTCCCCTAAGATGCTACTTGTCTTGTGTTGTCAGTGGGCCACCTCTTCCCCTAAGATGCTACTTGTTTTGTGTGGTCAGTTGGCCACCTCTTCCCCTAAGATGCTACTTGTCTTGTGTTGTCAGTGGGCCAGCTCTTCCCCTAAGATGCTACTTGTCTTGTGTGGTCAGTTGGCCACCTCTTTCCCTAAGATGCTACTTGTCTTGTGTTGTCAGTGGGCCAGCTCTTCCTCTAAGATGGTACTTGTCTTGTGTGGTCAGTTGGCCACCTCTTTCCCTAAGATGCTACTTGTCTTGTGTGGTCAGTGGGCCACCTCTTCCCCTAAGATGCTACTTGTCTTGTGTTGTCAGTGGGCCACCTCTTCCCCTAAGATGCTACTTGTCTTGTGTTGTCAGTTGGCCACCTCTTACCCTAAGATGCTACTTGTCTTGTGTGGTCAGTTGGCCACCTCTTCCCCTAAGATGCTACTTGTCTTGTGTGGTCAGTTGGCCACCTCTTACCCTAAGATGCTACTTGTCTTGTGTGGTCAGTGGGCCACCTCTTCCCCTAAGATGCTACTTGTCTTGTGTGGTCAGTGGGCCACCTCTTCCCCTAAGATGCTACTTGTCTTGTGTGGTCAGTTGGCAACCTCTTCCCCTAAGATGCTACTTGTCTTGTGTGGTCAGTTGGCCACCTCTTCCCCTAAGATGCTACTTGTCTTGTGTAAGGCCACTCTTCCCCTAAGATGCTACTTGTCTTGTGTGGTCAGTGGGCCAACTCTTCCCCCTAAGATGCTACTTGTCTTGTGTGGTCAGTGGGCCACCTCTTCCCCTAAGATGCTACTTGTCTTGTGTGGTCAGTTGGCCACCTCTTCCCCTAAGATGCTACTTGTCTTGTGTGGTCAGTTGGCCACCTCTTCCCCTAAGATGCTACTTGTCTTGTGTGGTCAGTGGGCCACCTCTTCCCCTAAGATGCTACTTGTCTTGTGTGGTCAGTTGGCCACCTCTTCCCCTAAGATGCTACTTGTCTTGTGTGGTCAGTTGGCCATCTCTTTCCCTAAGATGCTACTTGTCTTGTGTTGTCAGTGGGCCACCTCTTCCCCTAAGATGCTACTTGTCTTGTGTGGTCAGTTGGCCACCTCTTTCCCTAAGATGCTACTTGTTTTGTGTGGTCAGTGGGCCAACTCTTTCAAATGTGACCTTACATTTGGGGTAATTTTCAACTAAAAAATCATCACTTGTTCAGTAGCATGTTCAGTCAGCAAAAAGAGGATTCATGTCAATGTTAGGGATGCCACGATACATCAATACTTTTTCTAAGACGATACAATTATCGATACATTCAAAACTGTATCGATATTTAGTTTTGAAAGTATCGGTTTAAATGTTTATTTATCGTTTACAGTTTGCAATTTGTAACATGTTTTTTGATATGAGAGTTACAAATGATTATTTTTCAAACACAAAGATGGGAAATTAGAACTTTTTAATCTCTGAGAATCATGAATGTTGATCTTTTCATGGACAATTATGAAATATGAAACATTAATGTTCAAAATGTAACTAAATTTACGCTATCATGCCGTGAAATTGTGATACGTATCAAATCGTGAAACTTATGTATCCTGACATCCCTAGTCAATGTATTCCAATGTATCTGTTGTTCAGTTTAAACTTAAACATTGTCATATAGACAGTGTCATAATGTATGACACTGCAGTGAGTTGATCACACTGTCACGTGACTTCAGGCGGCGAGCAAAGCCAATGTCCAATGGTACCTCTGATGGTGAGGACACAGCAGAGACAGACTCGCCATCGTCACCGCCGCGGAGGGTTGCAGCTCTCGCCAGGGCCGTCCAGTCAGTGGGAGGGGAAGATGCTGAAGGAGGGGTAAGCAGCTTGGTGTCCTCGGGATTTTCTTCCACCATTCACATACACATGTGATGATTCACTGTTTTAACTATATCCCATGTTTTCATAAACATTATTAAATATACAGAGATTAAGATCACCATATGTATGTGACTTGAACAAACCTGGAGTACCAATCTGACACTTACAGCATATCTTACCATTCTCTGTTGACTGAGGTGTATGTAAATAGTGTTGGTGGAATCATGGCTGCTGTCCATAACTGGAGGGTGGTGGGGTAGCCTAGTAGTTAAAGAGCTCACTTGCCGAATTCCCATATCCGATTCCCCTCATGGGTTCAATGTGTTAAGCCAATTTCTGGTGTCCCCGGCCGTGATATTGCTGGAAAATTGCTAAAAGTTGCATAAAACAAAACTCATTCACTCACTCAACTGATCGTGTCAAACACAGCGTCACAAGAAATACTCTACACTTTGAATGAAAATTTGAATAAAATTATAATACAGAATACAAGCGTGGATCCAAATGAACTGTGGACCCTTCTATTTGACTTCTGTAAATCAGTACACCCTGGTTGATATGCTATGTGGGATGATGTGAAGATATGTGCTTGTGGGGATGATGATGTGAAGATATGTGCTTGTGGGGATGATGATGTGAAGATATGTGCTTGTGGGGATGATGATGTGAAGATATGTGCTTGTGGGGATGATGATGTGAAGATATGTGCTTGTGGGGATGATGTGAAGATATGTGCTTGTGGGGATGATGTGAAGATATGTGCTTGTGGGGATGATGTGAAGATATGTGCTTGTGGGGATGATGTGAAGATATGTGCTTGTGGGGATGATGTGATGATATGTGCTTGTGGGGATGATGTGAAGATATGTGCTTGTGGGGATGATGTGAAGATATGTGCTTGTGGGGATGATGTGACGATATGTGCTTGTGGGGATGATGTGACGATATGTGCTTGTGGGGATGATGTGAAGATATGTGCTTGTGGGGATGTGAAGACGTGCTTGTGGGGATGATGTGAAGATATGTGCTTGTGTGGGGATGATGTGAAGATATGTGCTTGTGGGGATGATGTGAAGATATGTGCTTGTGTGGGATGATGTGAAGATATGTGCTTGTGGGGATGATGTGAAGATATGTGCTTGTGGGGATGAGGTCTGTATGTGTCAGGTTGAGGTAGTTACAGAACATGGTGTTCACTGTTACTGGCCCCATCCAATGGCCTGTCTCCCTGTCACCACTGCTTACTCTTTCATAGGAAATAACATGTATCTTATTTTGACAGGTTCGAAGAAAAACACGATCCAGGAAGAAATAGGAGTGCACAATCCTGGGAGTGATGCTGTGTTCTTCTGTCCTGTGAGCCACCGAAGCATCCAGCAAAGCAGCATGGGGGCATACACTTGGGGCATACACAAATCTGCAGGTCTGGCAACAAGCAACAAAAGTCCATTGTACAGATCTGTCATGATGAAAACAAATTCTAGGCTACCTGTTGCTCAGCACTTGACCATTTAAGAGTTACATTTGCAAGTAATGGATATTTTCTCATTTGAAAAGCTTCACTTCTTATGCCAATGGCAGATTATTTCTGTAGCTGAACTTGAAGGTACTTTCTGAAGGCTGATACTGAAGTTTGGTCTGCACATGGAATAGTGTGTACTTTTTCCAATGGAACCCTTTGCTGTTCTAGTTTCATATCAAGTTGTATGCATTTTATTTCTTAGTGAAATACTTTCCTATCAATTGACCAAAATGCTAGACCTGGCTTCTCGATGACTCATGAACTGTTTATTTATGCTGTGTTATATCTTGAAGTAGCAATACAAAACAAATAGCTTGTTTATTTCATATATTCATGAATCTGGAGTGTAGGTCACCTGAACAAGCCATCTGTTTGATTTATGCAAAGCCAATAACTCACTATTGTGATACACTTCAAAACCAGACACAACTCACCACGTGTTTCCTGTATAATGGCCCTGTATGAAGTGGGCATCATCTTCAGTTGATTCTATGTTGACACCAAGTTGTTACCGAGTTGAGTTGTTCACCCCTGTTTCATCACGTCAGTACCACTGTGAATAGTACATTATTTTATAATTTGTCACATCACCTACTGTTTTGTAAATGGGATCAATTGTTTTGAAGAATTCCATGTCTGCTGACACTGAGCCCAGACATTGGGTGAGGGTTGCAGAGACACCCGGATGTGTACAGTATTTGGGGCAGACGATGTTGAGTCTGCGGTTGTGAAAACAGTTTGTTAAATACTATCATTTATTTTGAGAATTGAAATGTAAATGTGGAAAATTGATTAAAATGTGTTCTTTATTCACGAATGTGGTTGTTTTTGAAGTGCAGGCTTCCTCCTCTCCTTCCCTCACTGCTATGGAGGGATACAGGTAGGAAGGTATGACTGTAACCAGTACAGATTCATGTTACAGACTCAGATTCTGTCATGCAGTTCATGGCGGCTGTTGTAGTGTGGGGCAGTCCTCATGAAAGTGGCATGAATAGGCTGATTGTCTCTGTTGCCAAACCTTATCAATTCAAGCAGGAAGTCGTGCGACCTGGCACAATTGTCAACAATAGGATGCTGCAGAGTTGTCTGTGACAAGGTTACATAATTTGATAATAGAACATACTGTGTAGGATCACTTTGTACAAGAGTGTCAACCTGGTGAAACAGCAGGCAATGGTAATGTAGCAGTATTATGCTGCCTCGAAGAGTGTTACAATGTTCGGGCATTGTCCTGCTGCAGAACACGACCAGGAAGGATGTCGTCCCGTTTTCGTACCCCATCATTTTTCAAGGAACAAACAAGATTTATGTTTTCGCATTTGTGATGCCACACCATTCCATTCTAACTGACGGGGTTGAGTAACTCAAACGTATCCAAAACGTTCTTCAGGGCGCCTGCAGATCTTAGTCACGAGCCCTACTGTAGAGCTTGCCCAGTTGAAAGTTCGACAATCTGTGAACAGAACATTGTCTTGTCTTCTGAACCTCGCATGTTTTGAGCCAAGACAGAAGGTAACTTGGGTGCCAGAATTTGGGGTATGGTTGGCGTGACTCACAGGTGATGCTCAGCTATAGATCAAGCCTCGAAAGAGATGATATTGTGTGTCAGTGAACGTTTGGTTTTGCACCATTCCTGTTTGCAGCAAGTCCAATGTCCGTCGCGGGGGCTCTATGTTATGGTTATATACGGTAAACAAGTGTTTTCAAGAGCAGCTGATAACTGGACGAGATCGTGACGTCTCGAATATATATGGAGAGATGCATTATTAATGTAAACCTACTTTTATTCAGCATATAATGAGCATTGTTAAATTGCCCTATGTTTATATTATATTGTGACAATAGAGGAATACAAAATATTTTTAATACCAAACTTGAATACACCTGAGCTGAAAACCTCTTTTGGGGATTTGTCCTACATTAAAGAAAGACATATACATGTATATAATTTTGAAGTAGCAAAACATCCAACGGCATGCACTTCCACCTTACATATACTGGACAAAGTAAGTTAGGGATATTGGTATTTTTATCCCCCGCAACGCGTTTTGCGGGGGTATTAAAATGGACTCCGTCCATGCGTCCGTCAGTCCGTCCGTCCGTCCGTGCACATTTGTCTTTTCCGGAGCAGAACTCTAAAACCGTTCACTATTTCTTCACCAAACTTGGCACATACATGGATCTGGTGGTGTACTGGTGCCTTTTGGTAGTTTTGGAATTCTGAATTAAATATTTTTGGCGTTTCCATGACAACAAGTTTGACTTAGACTGAAATTGGTGGTAGTGCTCATTCTGGAGCAGAACTTTCAAAACCTTTCAATACTCTCCTTCCACTTTTCTATATACACACCTAAATATTTGACATAATCATAACTCGTAGACATAATCATGAAGAGTATTTTGCCATTGCGGGGGATATTGATGACTTTGTCTTCTTGTTATGATTGATATTGTATCGGTGAGTCGGATGAGGAAGACGGCGTAGACGTCGATCCATCTCGTCCCAAACATGCTCTATCGGGGAGAGATCCGGTGAATTTGCAGGCCAAGGCAGTAAGTCAACGTTGTGGTGTTGCAAGAAATCCATAGCAACCCTTGCCGTATGAGGGCGGGCATTGTCCTGTTGGAATGTTAACCCAGGGCCATGACGTTGAAGAAAAGGAATTGCCACAGGTCGAAGAATCTGATCCCTGTAGCCCACACCAGTTAAGTTGCCCTGAACAATCACCAAAGGAGTTCTTTGGCGCGCTGTTATTCCACCCCAAATCATCACGGACCCACCACCAAAGCGATTCCTCTCCAAGACACAGGCCTGAGCATAACGTTCTCCCACGCGTCTATAGGCACGTTGACGTCCATCACTATGGGAAATGTTAAACCTGGACTCATCTGTAAAAACAACATTTCTCCACCAAAACAAGGGTTCTGGCGGACATGATTTCGGCGAGCTTGTCGATGACGTTGTGTCAGGATAGGCCGTATGGCGGGACGTCGTGGTCTGATCCCGTGATGATGTAAACGTTGTCGAACTGTGTTGGGGTGGATACGGCGAAGTCCTGGGATGGTTCGGGCAGTCATCACTGCAGTCTGAAACCTGTGGCGAAGATGGGTCACCCTTATCCATATGTCCTGTCTTGGCGTTGTTACACGTGGACGTCCAGAACGTGGCCGATCGTAGACGTCATTTGTGTTCTGGTAGCGTCTCACCAGTGCAGAAATGGTGTTCCGGTGTCAGTGGAAATGTGCAGCCACTTGTCGTTGAGACATTCCCCCACGGACCATCCCAATGGCCTAATGACGTTATTGCAGACGTGAGCCTTGGCATGCTATGTTTCAATGGCCGTTTAATTTTGAACGATCGCAAGGGCAGGGGTTGAGCTTTCCAAAGTGACAGTATTGTGTGGCATTCATTTTGCTCTGTTTCTCTTTCCCGGAATGCACGTGCAACAACGTATTGCACGTCTCAAGGACGAACCCACTGCCGTCACGGAACGTGGCAGCACGATGCATGCATGTTGGATACATGTCACTAATCTCTGAGTTTAAATCCTTATGTGTCTACAGGGGCGGTGGGGTAGCCTAAAGTTACTGTCGGAAATCTTAGAAAATGCTTTTTAACCTTAATACTTTGATAAAGGTGATAAATGTACTATGTTGTCAATAGATCAACTCGCCTATAGTGTACCTAATTTTGTTTCAATCGATTTAACATTCCCATGCATTTAAAGGGCGGTTTACAGGAGAGAATATGGTACCAAAACAACAGCTTAGAATTTTTCCAGAGTTCAACAACAGAAATCTGAAATAGTCTTTACATTTATGCTAATAATACAGGTGGTGTAAAAATATGGAATCAACGTTTTTCTTTAACAAATAAATGTTGAATGTTTGTGTTACTTTACTTAATTATCGTTTCTTTATTGAAGAAATATTAATATAAATGTTAAGTCTTGATAAATAAGTTTCCGTCATGCATGCACATCTTTATCACAGCTGTCCGACTATGGCCAACTATTTGCATTCAATTGTTGCAAAGGTTTATAAGTTTTTTGTGCTTAAAAAGACAGAGGTAAACCTTTCATTAGTTTAGAAATGGTTTATTACAGAATCTTGTAGAGCTGTTGGTATGTCTTACCAACAAGTTTACAATATTGTAAACAAATCAGACAAGACAGGGACAGTCTCAAAAGCAAAACTGGGACGTTTGACAAGGGAGTACTTGGACGGGACGGTCTACAAACCTTATGAGAAGAAGAAGAATATATATATTCTAAAGAAGCTACGCTAATTGACTTCGTTAAATGTTGGCCAATGTTCACAACTAGATTAAACTGACCGAATTACATCCATATTTTTTGCAATGAAATATGCTGTTGACATGCAAACATTTATTCAAACGTTGCACATTTCTACACAATCCATCGATAAGATAAACCTGAAGTGATAGGATTCTTTCCAATGTACGGTAATTCGTATGTTTCTATTTCAAAACAAACACACACATACAAATGATCCGCCATATCCACGTACGTATACTATACGTACACATATTCAACATTTTGAAGAAAACATCTATTGAGATGGCCCTCGCCAGGATGTGTATCAGGGTGTCAATTTCACCTGTCGATGCCGTGCATGCTGATGATGACGTAACACAGGCGGTTAATGTTTGTATCAAAAACATTCCACTACCCGTTATTTTCCTAAGTTTTCTAGTATTTTCATCGACGTAAAAACACATTTTAGGGCATGTCTCCAAATTTATTCCACTCGGTCTACATTAGGTAGATGTTTCTTAAAAGTGATATTTGTTGTTATGTAACTGAAATACCTCTAAAATTTTAAATATAAGTCAAAGAGCATTTTTAGCATTTCCGACAAGTGCTTTGGTGGTTAGTTGGCTTGTCACTTGAAGACCAGGGTTCAGAATCCCCCACATGGGTAAAATGTGTGAAGCCCATTTGCGGTATTACCCGCAGTGATGTTGCTGGAATATTTCCAAAAGCGGCGTAAAACAAAACTCAGTCAGTTATGTGTCTACACAGGTTTGATAAATTTTGGATTTTAAATTTTGTATGCACAGTTAGATAATTATTCATAATTTCAAAATGTACATATATCCCTAACTAATTTTGTCCAACATATAATAAGTTGACACTTGGGATAGATACCGATTTACCAGAGCTGTAGAAAGGGCCAGTTATATCTGCTTCGCACTACATGCCATCAGTGAGAATCGAGCTATCCACAGACCCTCTTTTGAAACTGGTGCGCATCGTCTCCCGTGCTGTGCCAAAGGACGCATTCCAATATCATGGGGACGGCGAACTCACTGTTCACTGATCATGTCATCGATCTACACAAATAGGATACGAAAACCTGCACCAATCAAGTCAGCGAGCATGACCACCCGATTCTGTTAGTCGCTGTTGAGACGTAGAAGGCCAATTAGATTAGAAAGTGTGCATACCGACAAACATGCTAGTGATTGTGGAAGTAAACGTACTGTCATTAAAAAGTTGCAAATGGGAAACTGCCATGGACGATGTTCATCATGTTGTCTGCACTTTGCTGAATAAAACACCCGGAGTTCTGATAATCCTGACGGCAAGAGCATGTGGAGTTATACATCAAAACGTTAAGTTATATAGAACCTATTCGATAAACCTAATTCAGGAAGTAAATATCATATTCGATAATCGAAGTATTAATGTATTACACCTGTTAATATGTTAAGCGCCCTCGTTAATGTTGATAAACTTGTATGTCTCGGCTTACATCGGTGGTGTGCACGCACATTGCGTTGGTAAAGCTGCATGCTTTTCTGTAAGGTCTTGTCTTGACTTCAAGAAACCCCCTCAAAAAGATGTTCTTATAATGGCTTTGGCACAAACACAAATCATCTGTTTTGGCTCAAAGTGACCAGGCACTATGGCGTGTATGTGATGAAACAAAAACGTGTATTTGTAACCTGGGAACGTTGTCCAATCAATATCTAGTATACCCTCCAACATGCTTGGTTACCTGCCTGTTCTCTACTTTGCATACCCCTTGTCAGTCGTATCAGTTGCACCATTCTTGATGCAAAGCTGGTTCCAACTCTGGCAGATTTTGAACAGGTGGTACACGTGCTTGTATCTTTCGCCGGGTAATGTCCATGGCAGTGTCAAAACGGATCTACTGGACTTCAGGCTTCAGGAGCAATGCCAAAGTGGATCTATAGTCTGTTTGCTGTGAAAACGTACCGGTGAATGCCACTTTAAACAAAGACGTAAATGAAATACTTTGAAATTAAGATTTCGAATCCTCATAATTGTTTACCTTGCCAAGTGAACATTTAGATCTCAGAATTATATTCAACTTAAGATAACAGTTGTTTAACAAACGATCATAGATTCAAATCGCTATTATTGGTTTGTATTACAAGGGGGTATGAACATTAAATGAAACACCGAGAACAAGTTGGGTTAACGTTCATCACTTACCGCACGTGTATTTGTTTCACTGTTCCAACTACTGCGTTTACCCCCTTGAAATACAGACCAATAATAACGATTTGAATCTATGATCGTTTTTTAAACAACTTTTATCTTAAGTTGAATAAAATGCTGAAATTTAATTGTTCAATTGGCAGGATAATGAGGATTCTCAACTTTAATTTCCCTTTATTTCATTCACATTTTTGTTTAAAGTGAAAGTGAAACTTGACTCTAGGTTTCAAGGACAATGTCCGTTCAAATTTATGGGTAACTACTTCTATTGTGTTGCATTTAGCGACGTTTCAACGTAATTTCTTTTCTAAATTTGAAACGACTGACACCAAGGTACCAACAACAGGTTTACGATAACACATAACACAGCTAATTGAGTAAGGCAGGAAGAATGACAAATATCAGGACTTCTAAATGCTTATCATGGCAGTGTCTGTACATCTGACTTGATTACTTGTGTGCTGAATGCAATAAACCAGAAATTGTTCCCAACGAAGATGTACGCATGCTTAATGGTCCCCTTTCACTAACTTGGTCAACACAGATTTCCCGATAACTTCATCAAGTCCGTGTATGTTAACTAACTGAGGGAGGGGTAACATCACCATCCGTGACGACAGACTAACAACATGTGTTCAGTTCATATCGATATAATCGCACATCTACAGTATTGACCAGTGGACATTCAAATCAGCACTGAAAACAAATGAAGCTGCTTCTGTGTTATCTTTTCACACCACAAGCAACCAGCCCCCCAAACCCCACGTATTGATTGTTCAGGATAGATGTTGTCTTGAGGCAAAGCATAACATTACTCCCTCCTCAGCTTAGTATGTGCACTATGAGATGCCCACACCTTTCTTCACCATGAAGAAGAAGAGTGATAGAAACACGGCTCTGACATGGCAGCTGTTTGTAGCTAGTGTCTTCATGGTGGCTGCTCTGTACGCGATTGTTGACAAAGATGGGTGCAAGACGCCAGGACGTGCAGAGGTCTCTGGCAGTCACACTGTAAATAACAGGTGAGTTCAATTCTTGGATTCTTGGATTCTTGTTGATGGATGGATATTTCCATAATCTTCTTAATATTGGACGTTACCCTGGTCTGCGAATAACAATGAAGTCCAGGTGTATTGTGGCATGTTTTTTTATGACAGTTAGCCCTGGCACGCCTTTTCTTCACCATTAAACGAGCACGTGAAGAATTCGCAGATCGTTTAACCATAAGCAGCAGGGTGATTCTTCTCTTGGTACAAGAGGTAGCAATAAAGTTCTGAGCCTGACTGGTAAACTGCGATGATCTATAATGTTTCAACATAATGCCCTCCGTGATCCTCACACATCTGCCAACAGTTCTAGATGGTCTTCGTCCAGAGGATTTATAGGGCTTCTTCTCTTGGTGTAAATAGTCATAATGATTTACGTAATGCTTACAAGTCAGTTCTCTCTTCACGTTTGGGAAGCGGGAGAATCTTGGTGACGGCGCCAAATCTACTCCGCACTGATTTCGCAGCCATAGTGGAAGAGACTTGTGCAACACACTTGGAATTGTCCAGGACGTTTTAGGCTTCATATTCTCACGCAGTTGCCAAATCATTATATACTAGGCACATAAAGAAACTGTGCATACAAAAATTTAAATTCGAAATTTATCAAACCTGTGTAGACTCATAAGGATTTAAACTCAGAGATAAGTGACATGTATCCAACATGCATGCACGTGCCACATTCCATGACGGCAGTGGGTTCGTCCTTGAGACGTGAAATACGTTGTTGCACGTGCATTCCGGGAAAGAGAAACAGAGCAAATGAATGCCACACAATACTGTCACTTTGGAAAGCTCAACCCCTGCTCTTGCGATCGTTCAAAAAATTAAACGGCTATTGAAACGCATAGCATGCCAAGGCTCACGTCTGCACAACGTCATGAGGCCATTGGGATGGTCCGTGAAGGAATGTCTCAACGACAAGTGGCTGCACATGTCCACTGCCACCGGAACACCATTTCTGCACTGGTGAGACGCTACCAGAACACAAATGACGTCATCGATCGGCGACGTTCTGGACGTCCACGTGTAACAACGACAGGACAGATGGATTTGACCCATCTTCGCCACAGGTTTCAGACTGCAGTGATGACTGCCCGAACCAACCCAGGACTTCGCCGTATCCAACCCAACACAGTTCGACAACGTTTACGTCATCACGGGATCAGACCACGCCGTCCCGCCATACGGCCTATCCTGACACAACGTCATCGACAAGCTCGCCGAATGTGGTGCCGAAATCATGTCCGCAGACACTTGTTTTGGTGGAGAAATGTTGTTTTTACAGATGAGTCCTGGTTTAACATTTCCCATAGTGATGGACGTCAACGTGCCTATAGACGCGTGGGAGAACGTTATGCACAGGCCTGTGTCTTGGAGAGGAATCGCTTTGGTTGTGGTTCCGTGATGATTTGGGGTGGAATAACAGCACGCCGAAAAAAACCCTTACTGATTGTTCAGGGCAACTTAACTGGTGTGGGCTACAGGGATCAGATTCTTCGACCTGTGGCAATTCCTTTTCTGCAACGTCATGGCCCTGGGTTAACCTTCCAACAGGACAATGCCCGCCCTCATACGGCAAGGGTTGCTATGGATTTCTTGCAACACCACAACGTTGACTTACTGCCTTGGCCTGCAAATTCACCGGATCTCTCCCCGATAGAGCATCGACGTCTACGCCGTCTTCCTCATCCACCAGATAACGTCCTTGACCTTGCAACAGAACTTGAGAGAATCTGGCGTGACATCCCACAAGCCTTCCTTGCACGTTTGATAGGCTCTATGCGTCGTCGATGCACTGCTGTTCTCAATGCCGATGGTGGACATACCCGTTATTGAGCTTGTGACATGGTCGTTTGACCCCTGTCCCGCTTGTGGATTCGTGACGTCATTGTGATTGTCTTTTCAATTGAAATTCTCCCGACTTGTTATGGTCTCATGATCCCTCCATTAAAGTTTATATGTACCTTTGACATTGTTATCGTACTTATCAACTGGGATAATATTTTGACAATGCACAGTTTCTTTTTGTGGCTAGTATAATTCACATTAATGATCCGACATTACGAAAGAATCGGAAACAAAACAAAGCAGGCTGAACAACAGCATCAACAGCAAACAACAGCAGGAGCAGTAACAAACAACAGCAGGAGCAGTAACAAACAACAGCAGGAGCAGTAACAAACAACAGCAGGAGCAGTAACAAACAACAGCAGGAGCAGTAACAAAAACGCCCCGTCTAGTTTTCTGAAGCAATTTGGTTTCATTTCTTACCTCCTTGTTTGGGACAAAAATTAGATGTATACAGAAAACACAAGAGTTCCTTCAGTTGTATAAAACATATCCATTACAATATAACGTCGTTCCGGATCTTCTTTCTTTTGCAACATTTAGTTACTTTGTTTCCTCAAAATCTGAAGTTATCCTACGGCGTTCTCCTACCTGATTTTAAAGAGACTGGCAGTCTCCAGGGGTACTGTAGGCGATGAGTTTCCAGCGATCTGTGTCTACCTGGCTGGAAGATTATAGCCTGCTAAAACTGTTGTAATTCACATACTTTCTGTCTTCCCTAGTGTACCAGGGGATTGCCTTCGTCTTGCTGAGTTGTGAAGTGTGTTAATTAACTGATAAGTAGGATTTAGTCAGTGCCCAGTTCTGATCCCTAGTATTTTGTTAGAGTATATTCGCTTATGCCTCTGTTGTTGTGTTGATCTTTAATGTACTTTCGTCCACGAATCCAGGAAGATACGAAGTGCCACCTACAAGAAGTATGACATTTCCCCCGACAAAGCAGTACGCCTGGAACGTATGTTGGATCAGATGATGAAATCTCACAGTCGACCTGATGATGATCATTACGGTTATAACCTAACTCGGAGTGACGAGATACCAGTCTCGCGAGATATCAAAGACGCAAGACCCAAAGTGTGTCTCGACAGGACGTTTAACTATTCTTCCTTTCCAACTGTATCCGTCATCTCCCCCTTTTACAACGAGGCTCTCACCCCTCTCGTGCGTCACGTGCATGCCCTGCTGACCCGGACCCCTCCGCACGTGCTGTTAGAGGTAATCCTGGTGGACGACATGAGTACATTCAGCTACCTGGGCCAGGATTTGCAGAACTACTTCGGTGTCCTTGATCCTAGAATTAAGCTGCTGCGTAACCAGCAGCGTGAAGGTTTGATACGGAGCCGGTTATTTGGGGCTGACGTTGCCCAGGGGGAGGTGCTGGTGTTCCTGGACGCCCACATGGAGGTGAACCACGGCTGGGTGGAGCCGCTACTGCAGCGTCTTGCTGAGGAGGAGCAGCTGGTTCTACAGTCGGAAATACCTCCAATACTGGTGGACACATTCGACGTTGACACTGGGCAGACTGTTGACCATAGAGGTGGATTTGGCTGGGATATGAGGTAAGAAGATTGAGCAGTGTATACATGCCGACTGTGCCGGAATGACTCGAGCTGTAACATAATGCATGTGAAATGTAAAGACCAATACATGATCTGTTCAGCAATTGTGATTTATACTGATAACGCTAAGTTACATAATAATGGTATATACGAACTATATATGACACTTCTTTACCTTGCGGTAAAATGGCATTTGGAAGGAATCCGAGGCGAACTGTTCAGAAAGAATAAAATAGTCGTCTAGTAGCCCCTGTGATACAATACAGTTAGGCAGACTGCACGGTCTGCATGCTGTATTACTTTGATATTAATTACATTTGATCCGTTCTTCAGTCTTACATGTATCATGAAACAAACCCCTATTAATGCGTCCTATTTATCTGCAGTTACAGGCTGTTTCTTGTTGTACATTATTGTTTGGTTTCTTCCATCGCAGTTACTTATGGTTCCCTCTGCCGCAATACCTGAGTCAGTTCAGGAGAAGCGACTGCGACCCAATCCCATTTCCAGTCCTCCAAGGCGGTTCTATTGCCCTGAGAAAGTCCTACTTCGAGGACCTGGGACGCTTTGATTCCGGCCTCGCTATCTGGGGAGGAGAACATTTTGAGATGTCCTTCAACGTGTGGATGACTGGGGGACGAGTAGAGCTAATACCGTGCTCCAAAGTGGGGCATATATTCAAAGACACAAAGTTCAGTTTCGGTTCTTCAGAAAAGAATTACGTGGTAGCCAAAAACAACCTACGTGTCGCTGAAGTTTGGATGGACGAATACAAGCAGTTTACGAGGGCGGCCATGCGAGCCTGGCAGGATCCCGTGCCTGAGTTCTCCGATGTTGAATGGAAGTCCATTGAGGAGAGACGGAGGTTGAGGTGGCAAAGGAAGAGCAAGAGTTTCTCCTGGTTCCTGAAGACCGTCCTCCCAGAGCAACCTATTCCATCAGTAGACGATGTCAAGTATGGCGAGGTGGCCAGCTCCTTGACTAAACACTGTCTGTATTTCGCCGATACCGGACTCCTGAGCCTCACGACAACGTGTATGTCGTTTGTTGTCGTTGTTAAAGAGAACACTTTTTCTCTTGATAGGTGGGGTAGGTTTAAACACCGGGATAAATGTGTCGGCTTCCACGAAAACAGCTTTCTACTTACCCTCACTGACTGCCCTTGTGTGGAAGGACACCAAACCATGCCCCACTGGACAACCAACAGCGAAGGGGCGCTTATTTATAATGGTCAGCTGGGGTCCCTGTGCGCCACGCTGGTCCAAGCAAGGCCCGGGGTGGAGTCCGACTTGGTCCAACTGCAAGCATGTGTACCGAACATGGCCGAACAAAAATGGTCATTTATGTATCATTTCAAGTACTGATACTTGATATCTAATGCCAGTGAGATGTAAAATGTGTCTTTACAAGCCCATATTTTGATGTAAGTAGGTGTGGGTTAAGTCCACGTTGTTCTAGGACAGCGACCGAAGCAAACATGTAAGTGTGCCGTTTCTCACTCCCAAATGGGTTTGTAAAGATTGACGCTAAATATTTGGCGCTATCATTAAAACCTATATCAAACTTGCTTAGACTTTAATAACGACGTATTAATTATGGAACACTCACCTGCAGTGCAACATTCAGTGCGTAAGATCTTGCTGATTTTAGCTGTAATTTATCTCTAACGAGATCGCAGATATATTGGATGCCCGTCTCCCCAAAACGATAGCGTGATACCTTTCTCATTGCTCGTGGATTCGAGGTGCTGATTTCGTTGTCTGAAAACACGTTCTTTCCTTTTGCGACCTAAGCATTCAAACAATATGTTGGGAGCCTTGTCTGTTTTAATGACACTCTAATGTTACGCCAATATTATATCAAGTTAATGAGTGAGTGAGTGAGTGAGTTTAGTTTTACGCCACATCAGTATTCCAGCTATATGGTGGCGATCGAGTTAATGACCCGCTAATGAATGCACGATGTCATAGAAACGTTAGTACAAATGAATTTAAATATACATTACTTAATTAAAGTTTTGATAAAACGATAACGCTTGATTAAAGTTTGATACAACTGGATCCTGATGTTTATCATTATCACAACCAATTATTAGTTATATAGTATCATCTCTGTCTCTCTATTAGAAACGGACACTTCCCGGACGAGGTATACATGGTGACTACTCTATAGAAAGTATTGAATCCTTGTCCAATAAGTTACACGCGTCTTGATGTCTAAACACGTTTGAATCCGCATATTTCTTTACAATTGTATGGATAGGAAACGTTCTAGACTAAGCACCCTCATACAATATTAAGATACTCAAGTACATTTTGTCGCTAAATACGAATGTGTGATTAATCCCTTAAATACTGAACACAATGAATCACATTTCTTTTCTGACTTAAGCCTGATTTCATTGTAATGTGAATAAATTCCCCAAGTTAAAGGTTGATACAATGATCAATACAACAGTAGATCTGCTTGAAGAGGACGTGCCTTTATTGACGCTCGATGGTGTGTGGTAACTGGGTAATGTCGCTATTAGCTATATTCCACTATTCTCGTTCAAGACTGGGATGTACGAGTGATATTCACAGAAGCATTGTGTCTAGAACGCACCAGGGCTTCATAGGCACACCATTCTTTCTGGCCACAGGATTATACGTTTCACTTTTCTCTTTTGTCTTTTGTGAAACCCGTTATTGTACACATAACCAGCATAACTACATTTGTGATGTAACGAACGTTTTGGGACAGTGTGGAGCTTCACAACAGTCAATATGAAATATGTCAGATAGTTATGACTGCCATATGTGACACCTTCATATTGGATGTGTGAACATATGGGAAAAGTTGACTAGCGTTGAGTTGAGTTGGGCTTTACGTCACATCGGCATTATTCCAGCCATATAGTGACGAGATCAAGTCTGCATTCATCAACATTATAAATACCGAGTCGGAAGTCCTAGTTGTTGTTTTAAATGAGTCCTAGTTAATACAGAAAAGGGGTCGACAATTGTTGAGGAGTTTACGGGCTTCAATCCAATTGACTTGTGATATTGGAAGTGGACATAGGCAAGAGACAACAAGATCTTACGTTTGAACGAAACGTTCGTTAAAAGCTTAGCTTCCATGACCTTTTGACCCCTAAGTTGTTCAGTTATTTCCTCAATGTTCACATCAAAGTCAAAATTGTAAATGACTCCCTTGCTTTGGCTTTCGGGACACTGTCATTCACATGAATGTCATAAAAGGACGTTGAGCCCAAAAACCTCCTTCAGCTGATCTGGGCCCGGTTGTTCAAAACTCGGTTATCTTTTAACGGTCGATGTGTGAGAGTAGCTGTGCAGTTAGTCGATGTGTGAGAGTAGCTGGCAGTCGATGTGTGAGAGTAGCTGGCAGTCGATGTGTGAGAGTAGCTGGTAGGCGATGTGTGAGAGTAGCTGGCAGTCGATGTGTGAGAGTAGCTGGTAGGCGATGTGTGAGAGTAGCTGGTAGGCGATGTGTGAGAGTAGCTTGTAGGCGATGTGTGAGAGTAGCTGGGAGTCGATGTGTGAGAGTAGCTGGCAGTCGATGTGTGAGAGTAGCTGTGCAGTTAGTCGATGTGTGAGAGTAGCTGGCAGTCGATGTGTGAGAGTAGCTGGCAGTCGATGTGTGAGAGTAGCTTGTAGGCGATGTGTGAGAGTAGCTGGTAGGCGATGTGTGAGAGTAGCTTGTAGGCGATGTGTGAGAGTAGCTGGCAGTCGATGTGTGAGAGTAGCTGGCAGTCGATGTGTGAGAGTAGCTTGTAGGCGATGTGTGAGAGTAGCTGGTAGGCGATGTGTGAGAGTAGCTGGTAGGCGATGTGTGAGAGTAGCTGGTAGGCGATGTGAGAGCAGAGCTGGTAGGCGATGTGTGAGAGTAGCTGGTAGGCGATGTGTGAGAGTAGCTGGTAGGCGATGTGTGAGAGTAGCTGGTAGGCGATGTGTGAGAGTAGCTGGCAGTCGATGTGTGAGAGTAGCTGGTAGTCGATGTGTGAGAGTAGCTTGTAGGCGATGTGTGAGAGTAGCTGGTAGGCGATGTGTGAGAGTAGCTGGTAGGCGATGTGTGAGAGTAGCTTGCAGTCGATGTGTGAGAGTAACTGGTAGGCAATGTGTGAGAGTAGCTGGCAGGTGATGTGTGAGAGTAGCTGGAAGTCGATGTGTGAGAGTAGCTTGCAGTCGATGTGTGAAAGTAGCTGGTAGTTGATGTGTGAGAGTAGCTGGAAGTCGATGTGTGAGAGTAGCTGGCAGGTGATGTGTGAGAGTAGCTGGTAGTCGATGTGTGAGAGTAGCTGGTACTCGATGTGTGAGAGTAGCTGGTAGGCGATGTGTGAGAGTAGCTGGTAGTCGATGTGTGAGAGTAGCTGTGAAGTTAGTCGATGTGTGAGAGTAGCTGTGCAGTTATTCGATGTGTGAGAGTAGCTGGTAGTCGATGTGTGAGAGTAGCTGGTAGGCGATGTGTGAGAGTAGCTTGCAGTCGATGTGTGAGAGTAACTGGTAGGCAATGTGTGAGAGTAGCTGGCAGGTGATGTGTGAGAGTAGCTGGTAGTCGATGTGTGAAAGTAGCTGGTAGTTGATGTGTGAGAGTAGCTGGAAGTCGATGTGTGAGAGTAGCTGGTAGGCGATGTGTGAGAGTAGCTTGCAGTCGATGTGTGAGAGTAGCTGGTAGGCAATGTGTGAGAGTAGCTGGCAGGTGATGTGTGAGAGTAGCTGGAAGTCGATGTGTGAGAGTAGCTTGTAGTCGATGTGTGAAAGTAGCTGGTAGTCGATGTGTGAGAGTAGCTTGTAGGCGATGTGTGAGAGTAGCTGGTAGGCGATGTGTGAGAGTAGCTGGAAGTCAATGTGTGAGAGTAGCTGGTAGGCGATGTGTGAGAGTAGCTGGTAGTCGATGTGTGAGAGTAGCTGGTAGGCGATGTGTGAGAGTAGCTGGTAGGCGATGTGTGAGAGTAGCTGGAAGTCAATGTGTGAGAGTAGCTCGTGGGCGATGTGTGAGAGTAGCTGGTAGGCGATGTGTGAGTATAGCTGGTAGGCGATGTCCATAGATTTTAGACATTCAGTAAATTTAATACCATTTGTTGATGTAAATTATTTAATACGTGTTCCGTCAAATCGCTTTATCATGTGTTATCGAGTATTCAGTACGTAGAGACTACGCATTAAGACACTTAAATTCCTGTTTACGGATCGTTGAGGGTGCTTTCGAAAGTATATTTAATACTTAGATGTATCTTTAGATAGCTACGTTGATATACACGTGTATTTCCACAACAACATAATCAACAGTAGAGACCAAAAACAATAGAGAAACCTTTATATGTCTAAGCAGAACAGGGACAGATTATGTCATTGTTGGATGGGTTTCATGTTTTCTGACAGAATCACCAGGCAGTTTATACAAGATGAGAGTAAGTCCTTGAGTGAGTTGTTTGGGTGAGTGCTGGGTGTGTGCTTGAGGGAGTTGGTCTAACGCCGCTTGCAACAGAGTGAGTGAGTTTAGTTTTACGCCGCTTTTTGCAATATTCCAGCAATATCACTGTGGGGCACACCTGAAATGGGCTTCACACATTGTACCCATGTGGGGAATGGAACCCGGGTCTTCGGCGTGAAAAGCGAACGCTTTAACCTCAAGGCTACCACACCGCCCCCGCTTGCAACAGGTTGTCGTAGACATCTTTTGTCATAACAACCGACCTAGGTCAGTTCTACACAGCGCGCAGCACCACAGATGGAATGGCCACTGGACTCGATGAACAGTGCTGAGACCAGGCATGGAACGATTAAATCAGTCTGTCTACAATTTTCAAGAAGTAAATTTTCTGTTTGAAATTCAAATAGAAATAATAACAATAAAAGTAAGGTAAACGTTACATGGAGTCACCTGAACGCCCACACTAGAATTACTCAACCCGATGTATCATGGCGGTATATACCCGACTCTGGGCCAGGCAAACCACAAGGAGGAATGACCCTCCGCACCTCGGTGTACAAGTACCAGTCCCATCCCACGTTTATGAGTTGGCTAAAACTATAAGCAGGTAATAAACTGACTTACAAAAATGGGAAACATCTGGTGTTTTGGGATTA